GACTGACAAATTTGTTGCATTAATGATCAAACTATAGTAAAAAGGAAGAGAAGCCACAAGTGCCAAGTTTGCTTTTGAAACCACCCTCCCGCTTCCCTTTCCTTAGCCTTTCAGCCAAACAGCTGTTGTAGGCGCAGATTAGTCTAAACGACCGAAAATAACTTTGGTTGGACTTTAAGGGTGCTTACTGCTCAAAGAGCAATCTAATTCCTTTATCTGTCCTTCCAAGATTTTTTTCTCAAAATCCTTTCTTTTTTGAATAAAAAGTTTTTTTTTTCGTCTCAAAACAATAGAATTTTTTTCAATAAAAATTTGTAATTTTTTTCATTTTCCCATGCAAAACAGTGGAACGGTCCAAATCAATGCAGGACAAAAAGTTAACAAAGTTGCTGCAAATGAAAAAACTTCACGTTCAGCTTTTTTTTTTTTTTTCTGCATAAGCCATAACCACAGTAGCAATAGAAAAAGAACTGGTGAAGAAAAGCAAGCTTTTCCTTTCACAGATCAGTTCCTGATTTAATCATTAAACCAGTTGCTGCGTTAGTTTCTGGCTAAGTTGCTCAAGCGATATTTAGCAAATGAAATGGACCGGTAAGCGGTAAGCTGACAAGCTGACTTACTGCTGCTACCACCAGCAGGCTTTAGTTTTCTAGAAAAAGATGCAAATAAGACAATAAAAAAAGAAAAACTGCACTATCTAAAAAAGTGTTATAAAAGTTCAAACTCTTTACAAGGTTTAAAAGAGAAAAAATACAGCACGATTTGTTACTAAACAACTATTGAACAGCGAAATAATGTTAAAAACCTCCGTTACGAAAGTATTAATCAAAAGGACGAATATCATTGCTATTAACCTCACAACTATCATTTATAGTCTTTTTTTTTTCTTTGTTTAAAACACGATAGATAGATTAGACCATAATGATGATACGTACATAAGTAGCTATTGGTTAACTTGTTGCCAAGACAGATCCTCATCGATCACCATTCGTATTGGTTCCCGTCTCGTTCTAACCCTGCTCTTTCTTTTTCCCTCACTTGGCAGAACTCTATTCAAAAAAAAGCTGAGGAAAGCTTTCTTAGTCCACAAGAGGAAAAAAACAGAAAAAAATATGGAAATCTTTACAC